CACATTTATAAATTATTCTAACAGCTCTTCCGGCTAATAAATCATAACTAGGTTGGTTCTAATGCATTTGAACTGTCAGCCAGTATGTGCAGAATGTTATCAGTTTTCATGTGTTACAGATAGCAGAGGTGGAAAAGTGGTTTTCGAATGGTGTTGAGCTACTACAAAGATTTTCCATTTGCTTCTGAGCCATTGCCCTTGTGCCGTCTCGGGGCTGGGTTGGAAGGGAGGAGCTGCAATCTGCCAGGAGGGATTCTCCACAAAGCTTCCTTCGGCACCAGTGGAATCCAAAATTCCCTGAACCGGGCAAAGTGCTGCGATTCCCCCAGACCGAGAGGGAGCAAACTCCGGCTCCTGTTTCCCAACCCCCAAAGACTTTAAACGACTTCCCTCTTTTTTTTTTTTTTTTTTTCCTTACCCCGAAGTGGCTTTGGAAACACGGCAGGAATGCAAATAAACGTGTAAAAGTCAGTCTAATCGAGCATACGGTTCTCAGAACTTCATTACTCTTCGTTATCTGAAGAACTGCAAATAACAAGGGAAACGCCAGCAGGGCAGAGAGGCATTGTCACAGTGCAGACCTGCTGCTAGGAGGGATAGCTGTGAATGCTAACAGAGAGCCCAACCACCAAAATTCGGAACTCGGCTTCAGCCTTGTGAATGGACACTATTTTTAGAAATGAATTCAATTGAAAAATCCTTATTCTCCATGTAAATGGACAACTTGTTTAAATTCAGAGGCAAAAAAACCTGGGGTTAAGTGTAAGACCCACAATTCGATTTGCATGTTGAGTAATTCAGACTGTAATAGAAGCTTTGTCATGTTAAGGTTAGGTCTTTCCTGTGGCTGTTCAAGTGGGCTCTAAAGACTTTTTAACGTGTTGCAGGATATTAAGGGGGGAAGGTTTGACCTACATCCATTTTTTTCAGACCCACTTCTGCAGGTTTCATCACACTCCCCGTGTCTCGCACGTGGGACATTGCTGAGGGCAGGATAGGTGCCCAATTGCCTACATACAATTTCATCAGGAAAGGTATATGATTTATTGCCCTGTAAAGGGTTTTGACATGAAGCCTGTGAAAAGCACTATATAAATGCCAATACAATATAAAACGTCACACAAATACTTTGCTCATTAATTCTGACCCTGTGCTTTTGTACTGGAGAGAAATGAGAGTGAAATATGAATGTGTTCCTTATGCTTTGAGGGGGAAAATGGGGCTGTGGATTTTATAAAGGCTGATGTGTTAACCTGCCTTTGTGGCTCCTTTACAGACAGGCAGCACGAAGCCCACTCCTGGCTGGAAGCTACACCGTGAGTGAAAGCAGATAAAGCCCAAGTTTGTGATGACAGTCCTTGGTCATGACACAGCTTTCACCACTCAAAGGGAGGATTTCATTTTTTCATTTCAAAATTCCATTTATTTCAGCACTGCCAGCTCTGAAAGCCTGTCTGCCATCATCCCATTACGATTTTACTCCCTACATTTTGTCATATTTTTAAACAGCTTTAAATATTTTTAGACGTATCTTTAAACAGTTTAATATCCAAATCTTCCCAAGCCCTCATGGCCTGTTTCAGAACGTGGCTTCAGCCAAAGAAACTGGGCTTCACCAGAGTGTTTAGTGACTGGCTAGAGCTGAGCAGCCCCTGCTGTTCATCTTTGCTTTGGCCAAAGGGGACAACAGCTCCTGAAATCCCAGATCTCACCAGTGCCCAGCTCCTTCCTTCTGGAAAATCACTGGGGAGGCCAGAGAGGAAGGGGAAGGTTGTGGGAATACTGAAAAATCCCCTTTCATCCTCTGCAGGGAGTTTCCAGCCTTGCCCAGTTCACTTTGCAGAATGAGGGCCAGCCTGGCCCAGTGGATGTCAATCTCAGAACTCCTGTGTCTGATCACTGAGGTTTGTCTCAAGGGCTGACACACCTCCATGGTGGGACTTCACTTTTCTAAAATATTCCTGCATCATCTTTCACTATCACTGTGTACTGAGTAAAATGTGTTGCGTTCCTTTATTTTGATTTTAGGTTGCTTTTCAAATTCCTTCCCCCTACTGTGTTTTGCTGCAATTTCAATTGTTTCTATTTTTGCTTTAAATAGGATGCTCACTTTCTGTTGATCTTTGCTGGCATTTTCCCTTTCGATTTGTAGTACTATTAATTCCCCTCTGTTCAACGTTTTGTCTGCATTCAGAACATGTTTGTTTTTCTCTAGTGGCCTGTAATTACTTTCCCCCTCCTACCCTTTAATTTTTCCAATTACGCTCTCCACTGATGCTCCTTTAAGAAGTGCTGGGGGTAACCTCCTCAGGATATGAGGATACGACATTTTTGGCCAGAAAGTGATTTTACTCTTGGAAAAGAGCTGGAGTTGGGGATATTGCTTGCACCTCTCTTTGGCACAGGGGTAAATGACTTTTTTGGTTGCAGTTAGACAACATGTGAGTCCTGTTTCCTCTTCAGGGATGGTCCGGCATCACCCTCCTCTAGAGGGACTGAGGACAGAGGCAAACAACCCTGCTCTGCACCTCAAAAGACACCTCCAGCTTTTGGCTTTGGGGATGCCTCTGTCCATTCCAGGTGAGGGATGGGGGAATGCAGCCAAATACCGAAGTGACACAGGAAATCTGCCAGGAAGCAGAAAATCAGGTTCAGCTCTCCGGTGTCCCCATTTACCACAGCGGCCTCCGCGCCGCGCTTCCAATCTTGCCTCTGGCCTGTTCATTTTCCTCTCCATGTTGTGGAATTCCAGGTCCTTCCCACAGGCAGAAACAAGACCAACTTCACGGCCGGCACCCCGCACCGTTTCACCGGGCAGCGCTTCCCGGGCAGCGCCGCGCGGGGCTGGCATCGCTCTGTGCGCGTCTCCCCGTCCGCGGGTGCGCTTCCCCCTTGGGGCCGCGTTTCCAGAGGCATTCCCTCCGGGACGGCCTCGTCCCGCCCTGCTGCGCGCCCCGAGCCGGCCCTGAGCCCGCGTTGCCCCCAGACCCGGGTTTTGGGGGGGCTTTTCTCGCCCCTCCGCGGCGCGGGGCGCGCCTTGCTGAGGTTGTGACTATAATCAGCCCCCGGCCCCGCGGGCGCTCCGCCGCTCCCCGCGGGTCTCTCCGCTGGAGCAGCGCTCCCGAGGGGCCGCGGGCGCTCCCGCGCCTCTGAAGTCGTTGGCAGCGCAGGGCGCAGACAGCGAGGCTTTGTGCCGGCGGGTGCGTGGAGCGCAGCGCAAAGCAGGAAAAAAACATAAAGAAAAGGGGGAGAGAAAAGAAAAGAAAAAAAGAAAAGAAAAAAAAAAAAAAGTGGTCAGAGTGGGTTTGTTAAGGAATCCGGTAAGTTATAGGAAGCAAAATTAAATGTCTGGTGCTTACACGACGGCATGTTTTACAAGGGAGAAGGAAACTGTGCAGAAAATGCATGGGCTTTTATTGTTGGATTTCATTGCCTGTATTGTGGTGGATGCTTTATGCTACGGAGAGCAAGTTTAATTGAACCAGATCGCTGATTTCATATAGTAGGGGGCATGGGGTGGGTTTTTTTTTTTTTGTTTTGTTTTCGGCGTTAACCCTTTCGGGGACTAGAGGCAGCCAGGGCTGAGATCCACAGCTCCGAGTTTCAAGGCAGCAAATAAAAACACATTACATAAAAACAAACACTGAGCCCAGTTATCAAAGCCTCAATCTCTAGCTATTATTTTCCCTTGTATTTGGAGCCTTTTTTTTTTTTTTAAAATCACATCTGTCGTTCCCAGCCTTTCCCAGGACTGCAAAGCAAAGTGGACAGCTTCCATGTGACCACCTAGTACAGGAGGCGTTTTCTGCTGGGAAACTTTGCAGCGGTTTTTCTCCTTCCCTTTCCTTCTGAGAGCTCAGAAAAGAAAATGTGCAATCTTCCCAGTGATTAAAGTCTCCCTATTTGTCTTCAGACTTATCGGGTTTATCCAAACTTTTGTGTGTGTGTGTGTATCCCCCCGCCCCCCTCCCGTGCATTTGTAAAGTAGCCCCATCTAGCAATGATAAATATCCCTGTTGATCACTTGATTGATTACCTCTCGGAAAGGTCACGCGGGCTTGCAGTAATTTCCTTTTGCCTAAGGCTCCCTTTTCACTTTTACTCCCGCACGACAGCTCCAAGTATACAGGATCTTTATTTTTGATTTTTAACCCCTAAATAGCTCCCCGAAAACAATGCGTTGGTGAAAAGAAGGAGGGAAATGAGCCGGCGGCTCCGCGCTGCCCCAGCCCTGCCGCGCTCTCCCGGGGCGGGTTTGGGGAGGGAGAGCCGCCCTCCCCTGCTCTCCTGTGGACTGAGAATTCGGATTTAAACAACCAGACAAGCTATTAATTTACCCATGCTACCCAGGGTCCTGAACCCAATTAATTTCTAATAATTACAGCCCAAGGGGGCTGGAGAGATCCCTCTGCCTCTTTCTAGCCTTGCCACTTCGCGGCACCGAGGTCAGCATATAATAATAAAGTGTATATTTTGAAAGTGATCAGCAGAACAGTGAGTTATTGCAATGAATGAAAATTGTTTCCATTTTGGCTAATTGAGCCCGTGGCTGAAAGCTGGAGTTCTGAGACTAAATAAAGAGGACTGTTTTATTTCGACGTGGGCTGGAAATCCCTGCATAGCTTTTCGGTCACCCAGCAAGAAGCTTAATTTCTTACCAGCAAACCTGAAATCAAGCGTTGGGTAAACAGTATTAATAATTGCATTACAATGATTAAATTAATCTTACTGGTAGCTAGGAGAATATAGATTGAGATTGAATAACACGATGTAAAGTTCACTGCACAAAGACAATAGCACAACAAATACCTCGATAAAGAATTCCAACTTTTCTCCAAGTAGACTGCGGGGCTTGCTCAATTATAATGTAAGGAAGAGAAAATTTCCTGTTACGGGGAATGCCCTGAAACCTGTGTACGAGGGGGTGCCTTTGGTCTCCCAGCCCGTATTAGAAACAGATTTAATTCCACCCCTCCATCTGGAAAAATATTTCCCCAAATTTAAGTCTGTGTTTCTGCCCGTGGATCCGCTGGAAGCCTCCCCGCATCCCCGCCGCCGCTCGCTTCCCACCGGGGAGGGAGCCGAGGCTGCCGGCGCGGGGCATCATCCCGGCACCAACGAAACGGAATTCCCGGGGGGCTGCCCGGCGGTTTTGGGGGAAGGGGGCGAGCCTGGCGGGGCCGAGCGGGCGATGCCGGAGCCCGGGCGGGCGGCGCGGCACCTGCCGGGCTCCGGGGCCGCGGGGGCGGCGGGCAGGTGCCGGGGACAGGCGGGACCAGCGCTGCCCGCCCGGGAATCCCGCACCTGTGCCCCGGCCCCAGCGGCTCCCCGGGCACCGGGAAGGATGCGCATCCCCGCCCGGGCTTTGCCGGGGTCTCCGCTTCGACCGGGGGTGCGGTTTGGCTTCGCAGGTTCAGGGGCGTTCGCGTTTTCCCCAAGTGACCCGGCGCCGCAGGTCGGGGTGTGAGGGGTGATGTGGGGACAGCTCGGGGGGAAAGGCGCTGTTTGCGGGCGAGGTCGTGGCTCGGGCAGTGCCAGGACCCCCAGAGCAGCCCCGGCCCCCGGCCCGGCCCCGCACAGCCCCTCGGCTGTCCCGGCCCTCCTCCGCCCGGACAGAGTGGCCCAGCTCCTCCCGGGACAGCCCGGACAGGGCACCCCGATGGGTGCAGGGACAGAGTGGCCCAGCTCCTCCCGGGACAGCCCGGACAGCGCCCGGTGGGTGCAGGGGCTTGGGGGAGTCCCCTGCCCTCCTGCTCCGGGGATGTTGGGTGCTCCCCTGCCCGGCTGCGGGGGGATGTGGAGTGGGCACACAGCAGCTGCGTGTCCTTAAAAAAATTAAAAAAAAAAAGAAAAAAAATTTCCAAATTACAAATTAAAAAGAACGACTGGCATCGAAGGCGGCTCCGCAGTGCGGGCTCAAGCTCTTGCGCCTGTCTGCCGGGCGTTTGGGGCACAGAGGGACCCGCGGTGCCCCCGCCCCACGCGCGGGGCTGTCACCGGTGGGGCTCCACGGGCGGCCCCGATCCGCGGCAGCGGCAGCCGGGGGTGGGAGCTGGGATGGAAGGGGGAAGGGGCGATGCTGAGGATTTTATTAAAACAAAAAAGTTGAGCAGCGTGTATGTACTGGCGCGGCCCCGAGTCTGAAAGATTGTAATTTTCTTTTATGGTGTCTGGCAGGATTTGCAACAGATATTAATGGGAACATAAATAGCGCATGGAAGGTATTGAACAAAACTGTTTAATGCAAGGAGGTTGTACCGGGGGAAAATCTATACGTAGTTTGGATTGATTCATACCTCGGACACAGCCATCCCCTAAAGGAGTTCCCAATTTCTGCGCGCTCCCTCTTTGATTGGCAAACCCTGTAATTAAAACAGATTAGAGCGGTCGGTGTTACTGTTTTTAAAACGCTTTTTTTCTGCCCAACTGGTGGTGGCTGAGCCGAGTTCAAGGTGGCGAAAAAGTGTGCGCGCCGCGAAAGTGTACGATTTCACGGTACACATACATAATAAAACATGTAATCAAATTATATCTCCCTGCCTGTATACGCGGAAAGATCTACGGCAATTGCTGCCGGCTGAGAATAAACTATTCAAACATTGCGAAGACTCCAGAACGGTATTAATATCCCATTTAAAAAAAAGGGGGGAAAGGCAGGAAAAAAGGTGTCGCTTCTCCCCCCAGCCCTCGCCCCGCGGTCTCCCCCGCTGTGACCCCTCCCGGGCGCGCAGGCGGCGGAGCCGCTGCCCCGCGGGCGCGGAGGCGCAGCCCGGCGGCGGCTGCGCGCCTCGTCCCGGCCCGTCCCGGCCCCGGTGCCGGCTGTCAGGGTCCCCACCGGCGGTGATGGATCGCTGCAAACTTTTTTTTGGCGGCGCTGAAATGTTGAAGAGCGGGGGGGAGCCGCCCGTGCGCATGTGCGAAGGTGTCCAAACTGACAATGCTGGAGAGATAGCGAGCCGGGATTGAGAGAAAGGGAGAGTGTGTGTGCGGGAGAGGGAGAGGAGAGAGGGAGAGGGGGAGCGAAAAAGGAGGAAAAGCTCCGGGAGGAAAAAAAAAAAAAGCCCCCCCTTCCCCAAGCCCACGCCAGCATCGGCCGCGGGACTGGCAGCATGCGATCCAAGGGCAGGGCGAGGAAGCTGGCCGCAAGTAGGTGCAATACCCCTTTCTCTTGGCTTTTCACCCTCCCTCTCTGCCATGTTGCATAGACATGTCTGGTGCGGCGCGGAGCTCGCAGGCAACCTGCAGCATCCCCTCCCAGCCTCCCGGCCCGGCTCGGCCCGGCTCGGCCCGGCCGCCCCGGGGGCCGGGATCGGCCGGGGGACGGCGGGCAGCGCCTCCCGGCCCGCTGGAGTCACCCGCGAAAAGTTGATGTAAATGTTGTAATTTCAGGCGGTTTTCCAGCACTTTTTTATACAGTTTGGCCGCCCGAAGGTCTGTGTTCCGCGAGGCGAGGGCTCGGCCGTCCACACGCAAAGCCCGACTTACTTAATTATTTGTCTTACGCTCACCCCATCTGTTTCTCCTTTATGATAGGGATCTCTGCTTTTAACTGCTGCAGTGTGGGGGCTCCTTTTTTTCTCTTTTTCTTTTAAAAAAAAATTTAAAATTATTTTTATTTTTTAAATGAATTTTGAATGGGTTCAACAACAAAACTTCGCCAGCTCTCGCGTCCTATTTTAAAAACAACTGATGTCTTTATTTTCTCTGACACATCTGGGGAAGTTTCATTTGATACCCATGGCGATGGCAACTCACATTCCCGAGTGGAAAAAAAAAATGGGCAGGAGGAAAAAAAAAAGTCAGATGAAATGTTGCATAAGTTGCGTGACGTATAAAGCAGATGCTTATTTACTCTTTATTTGTGAAGGGGGAAAAAATAGAGAAGCGTGGAAAAGGGGAAGTGAAAGATGTCTCTGGATGATCATCAGCTTTTCTCTGAACCTGAACAACAGCAGCAACCTGCGTTTGATTAGGTGATCTCAAAGTGGATAGTCCAGCGCCCTCAATTTGAAAACAAATACATTTTTAAATCTCAAGGTTGCCATCCGTGCTTCGGAGCTAATTATGGGGGGAAAAATCTCCCATCCCCGACAAAATCCGTCAGGTTTCCTCGCCTGTCCCTCGCTTTGCTCGCTGCGCAGCGATGCAGAGCTCCTGCTGCTGCTCCTGCTCCGGCTCCAGCTCCGCGGGCGAGATCCGATCGACTGCAAACTTTGCAGCAGCAGCAGCAGCACTTTCCCCTCCTAGACAGATGTGTTGCATTAAATAATCCTTCGGTTACAATCGGCTCATAAAGGAAATCATATTTAAAAAGCCGGGATTTATTTCTTTTTTCGTGTTCCGAAAAGCTGCTTCTTTCCCCCCCGAAGAGCGTCTCAGTTTCATGGCAAGTGGAAGGAGGGCTGGAGGCGACCTCTTCAATTTAGTCGTTAGAGAGAAAAAGGTTTTAGCTTTTCGGTGCCTTCTGTCTGAGTTAGGAATAGGAAAATACTTTGCAGCCTTCACCCTTTTACGTGGAAAAAGATACAGATCGGGATAAAGCGCATTTCTTGTATTATTTCACTTTTATTGCTTTATGCGTGAAACAAAAAAATCGCCCAGATTGCGTGACTGTCGCAAACACCCAGGCAAGCTTTTCCCTCCTAATTAAGGGAGAATACCTGAAGGGTATTTTCTTGACCTCAGTGTAAAATTGCCAAAAAATAATCTTGAGGCTTTGCCCCCACCTCTTAAAAAAAATAGAAAAAAAAAAAGAAAAATAATTCAGAAGAAACAAAAAGAGCCACGCGGGGAATAGCCAGTGAATTTTTTAAACGTCCAGCTGTAAAAATACGGGAAAGCACACGCGGAGGTCGGTCTGCCCGCCGCGCTCGGGGAGGCGGGCGGTGAGCAGCGGGCGCGGGGAGCCGCGCTGCACCTGCGCGGGCACCCGCGCTCCGCGGGGCTCCGCACGGGCCCCGGGCCCCGGGCAAGCTGCTTTTCCACTCGGGTGGGTCCGTGCCCGCCTGGAGAAACCGTATCCCCGAATAACCCCCGCCCCAGCGCGGGCCCGCAGCCGGCCCGGGGCAGCCCCGCCACCCAGTAGCCTCATAAAGAGACAGAAGGTGATCAGATTAGGGAACACACGTGAATAGGGAGGCACTTGTTACTTTTACACTTTATCGCCACTTTTTTACAGGCAATTTAGTGCAGTCAAGGTAGATCCAGATCCCTCTAACCATCTGAGATAGTAAAATAGCACTTTCCCAAGTTTCAGCAGGTTTTCCTGCGCCTGTAATTTGCCTCAGTCTAGTACTTAAAAGCCTTGATTGAAAAACAGAGCCGGCAAGTTTATTTGCCTGTTTAAGGCTGTCCGGGAATTTGTTTTCGAGCGGGGAGATGTTTGCCGTGTCCCGGCTGCCGGGCCTCGCGGCGAGGCTGTTTATTCGCCATCGCCCCCGGGCGCCTGCACGGCCGCGGGCACCGGCTGTCCCTCTGTCCCTCTGTCCCTCGGTCCCTCGGTCCCTCCGCCTGGCCCGGCCCCGCCGCCGCTCGGCACCGCCCCGGCACCGGGCTCGGCTCGGCTCGGTTCGGTTCGGCCCGGTGCTGTCCCCGGGCGGCTCCTGCGCGGGCACGGGGGCTGCGGGGACGGGCCAGACAATCCCATTATATGCCGGGCATATTTTCACCAGGCGCTTCATTAACCCTTTTCAGGGCGGAGAGCGCGCGTGTGGCTTTTCGCTCCCTCTTTCTGCCCTTCCTTCATTCCTTCTCTCCTCCTCTGTTCTCTCTTTCTTTTCTTTTCTTTTCTTTTCTTTTCTTTTCTTTTCTTTTCTTTTCTTTTCTTTTCTTTTCTTTTCTTTTCTTTTCTTTTCTTTTCTTTTCTTTTCTTTTCCTCCTCCTCCATTTTTTTCCCTCCTTCCCTTTTTTTCCCCCCTCGCCACTCTCTATCCTTCTCTCTCACTCAGGGCCATCAGCCACCCCTGAATTTGGGACAGCTTTGCCGGCGGGCTGAGCCCTGCGGTGCCTCCTGGCTGCTCCCGGGCCACCCCGGGCCGGCCGCGGGGCTGGGCAGGGGAAGGACACAAAGGAAAAGGACGGTCCGAAAGGCGAGCCCGCTATTAATACAGCCCTGCTTGTAAATGAAAAATGTAACCCTTGTTAATTAACGCTGTTTACATGGGGTACAAGAAACTTAAGAAATGTTTCTACAAAGGGGAAGGAACTGTTTACAAAACTCTTTCAAAAGTGTGACATATTGCTGCAGTTCCAGCACTAAAAAGCCAAACACACTTACACGCCTTTGAAGTTGGCTGGCTGAGGCAACATTATTTGACTGGGATTCAGATATTGCTTGTGGGTATAACTAATGGCTTTTACCTAGTTAGTGGGCTGGGAGGGGCGAGGGCCTGGGCGCCGTGGCCATTGGGTCCCTCTGGAGAGCTGGGGCTGGCTCCCCGCCAGCTCTGTACAATGTCAACATTGAATATTTGAATTCCCAGACTCTATTTAACAACTTTCTAAATAAATAAACTCATTGTGTGTCTGTGTTTAAAATTATTTCACCTCTTTCATGAAAGCTACAGCATCTTATTACACCGGCCTCTCGGGCTGCTTTTCCCCCTTTTCTTTCCAAACAAACACAAATGGAGCTGAGCACTTTTGGGCTTTTTTTTTTGTTTTTCACTGTCTCCTATCTCTCCCCTTCTCACTTTCTGTCTGTCTTCTCACAAAGCACGACTGGCAGCTGCTCAGACATCCCACCATGTCCTCAGTGGGACAGCTCTGTGCACCCTGTTATCTAATCATAACTAAAACCAAAGCCAGGTTCACCAAGTCGGTTAAATATTAATCATTTCTAAAAGGAGGCCCAAGTGAGTGCCATTGCTGCAGCAGTGCCCTGAACATACTCAATCATTTTGGCTGCCCTACCCTAGGCGGGCTCCAGGGACAGCTTTCATTGTTGTTTGCCATAAATGGCTATTAGTGTTCATATTCACCTATTCACCTACTTATTTAAGTGCACGTAAGTGTGGATGTGGCTGTGCTTATGGAGATGTGTGCATACATGTGTGCTCAGGACATACTTTTCTGCTTATGCCACGAAGATATATTTATTTAAATGCATAATAGCTATGTCTGTGTGTGCACATACAGAGAAAAGCATTTGATATTTGTAATTGCAATTAATATATGTACAGTGTGTAGTTTAGAGAGAGATTGTGGTATGCACAGGCTGCTGGGGTGCTTGTAATTCTGACACAAATATCTGTACATCCACAAAGGCTCTGAAACGTTCTGGATGCATGTAGGGAACACAGTCTTGATATGCAGGAGCCTGGGTGTTGCTCCCTGGGATGCTTCCCCAACACACTAATTGTGTGCTTCCGTGGCAGGAATATCCATTGCAAAATATTTATTGCCTTCCCATGGAAGTAAAGGTGGCTGGACAGAGAAGGTATTTCTGCCTGTCCTGGGGAGTGCAGCTCCCTGATAAAGATAAAGCTGAGTTGCTGCAGAAGAAATTGGAATGAATTTTCTGCCAGGACAGGTATGTAGTGGAAGAAAGAAAGTGTTGGTGGTTGCTCCCGCCCCAGGTGGATGAGGAAAGGGCAGTGGGGAAGCAGATGGAATTTTATAAATCTCAGCTAATGAAACCTTGTCCACAGAA